TATTTTGCGGCGCACCAACACAATTCATACGGTGCTGAAACAGGAACAAAGATTTAAACTTTAGGCGATACAAACTTTAAGCAACACAAGGTGTCAAAACCACCTCATCTGCTGTAGCTAAGAGATACATAGACAATTTATTCGAATTCATTTAGTCGCCTTTTACGATCACACAGTGATAAACAATGGCTGTTATTCAAAAGCTTTAGAGGCAACCAGGGAAGATTTGTAACGAGACCAGAGGTTCAGAGGTTCTAATCTGAAATAACTTATTCCTTTTATATGAAACTACTGTTTCTAGTTGTCCTAATGTGTTGCCTTCTTTTAAATTCTTCTTAATCATTGCAATAAGGCATTCGTCACTGTTATATCTACTCAGTCATAAATAATGAAACGTTAGATGTTTATTATTGCTTTCTATGCTTTTATTTCAAAATTCCTTTTCGTTAATTATAACTTATACGTGCTAGATACAATAATTGTGCCATGCCCTAAACAACAAGGTGTATGCATTTAAGTGTCTAATTTCCTATAAATGTAACAATTTTGCCTTAATGAAACTATTTCACTTTTGTTACAAATGCCAAAGTCGGTGACAAAATGAATACAGGTAAACAAATTTGGTCGTAGGAGCAGAAAACGATTAAACCACACCTGAAAATGAGTGAGTGACGTTAAAAGCGTTTATGGTTTATTGCCTTGCTTTGTGACGTCATTTACTTGTGAATATTAAAGGTAAAAATATCTATTAGTCTATTAGTCTGAGAATTATGTTAATACGTCAAAGCGATAAGATATTATGGCAAATAAATAAGGATCGGAGTAGTTGGGTTGTAAAGGAATTATTTGTATGACGTAAAAGGTGCCCATTAGGATATGTATTGTTTATTTGTTTTATTTTGTTGTTGATGTTGTTGTTGTTGTTGTTGTTGTCGTCAGGATTTTCATTTTAACACGTTTTCATTTCCCTGATGAATTCAGAAATCCAATTTATTACACGGGTTTGTCGGTTTTAAACTATAACTATTTTGATTAAATATTTACCTTCACATATTCTTTATGTATGCTGCAAATATTGTTTTAATTTTATAATTTAATTATTTTTACCCAAACCATGAATTAATTGTTTTTTAAGAATAAATATAATATTCTTTCTGTTATCGGGTATAAAGAGCACCTGGGCGTTTACTCAACCATTAAAGCTTGAAAGTCACCATATGTCCTGTTATGTGTTGGTACGAGGTTAATTCCAATCGTCCAACCTCTATTAATATTTATTCAATATATACAAATTATTGTCATCTACAATATTATTTTTGTGTATGTTTGGTATATGTCTGCTATTGTACCGTTGCTTCAAACGTTGACGAAGATGTTTTTAATTTTTCAACCATTAATCGACATTCATAAGTAAAATTACCTTTCTCCTAGATTTATCACAGACCTTGAAAACATCGGCCACTTTCTTCTTTAATGTAAATATCTTTTAAAAAGTTTGTCATTACGGATTTTCTTGTGTTTTAATTTCGCTCAAATTAAGATGTTTTGTTTAGATAGTATTTTGTTGGGTTCCGCCCATTTTTTTCTCGTTTAGGGCATATGCTTTCTTTTACTTATCTCAAAAATAATAATAATAATGTTTTGTCTGGCAAGTTTTTTGTGACCCTTATTCTTTAAGTAGGCATTTTTTGTTCTCTACATGTTAAAATAAAGCACATAAATATGGTAGTCAACAAGTTTTCAGAAAGGCGATCTACAGTGTGACTGTTGTAAAGACGATAAGACCTGGGATGCTTTTCTATGTGCATATTTGGCAAAAAGTAAAATCTGGCGACTTTTGGGCTATTAGATGCTCAGTCAGTAACTGTTTGTTTGTTTCATTTTACGCCTTTTTCCAACAGTATTTCAGTCATATAGGCGGGTAGTTTCCTAACCATCGTTGCTTGAGAGTTACACCAGTACTAGACTACCTTCCTCCGCGCTAAACTACTAAAGCATCTCCCGGGGATCGAACCCACGCCAGAGAGGTAACTTGATTATAAGTCATCGACTCTAACCCCTCGACCACGGAGGCGGTCGTTAGTAACTGTATTGATACTTCAAAATACGTTAATAAGTATATAAAACACCCAAGTACTTTGGTATCTTATACAATGTATGAACACTTATTCTTTACAATTCTATTTTAAACAAAAAACTGCGTGTTTATTTTCTTCATGGGATCCATTTTTCTTTAAAAGGCATTTTATAAATCATACATTTTCATAAATATATAATTATATACATGTATATATAATGTGTATAAGTGGAGGCATGCATTTGCGTAAATCAATTTGTAGTGTTAGAGCAAAATGCATTTTGACATGTATAAAATTCACCTGTCGTACAGTAATTGATAATTAATTATTATTTACGACAAAACTTGTAAAAAAGGTAATAAATTACATGTGTCCTTTAAAATTTACTTTATACATTGTACTGGTTAATCTGACAAATAAATTATTTATAAATTCCAATCTGTTAATATAGGTATTTTTTTACTTTGCAACCAAAGTGAATATAAATTATATATAATTTTGATTTCTTAAATCTAAATTGTGAAATATTTATGTTTATTACATACCTATAAATGAAATATTGATGCAATGAAATGCGTATGCAATGAAATGCGTATTGTTTCACTGCAGAGAAACATATTTTCCGTATTTTCACTGGTGTCTTGTCAGACTAATTTTTTTTCAAAATTCTACCAGTACACATAATTTAAGGGAAAGCCTTTCAAATTGTAATGTCTAAAAAAAGAAAAATGTATGTAATAAACTTAAACATAAAGTGTTTTTCTATGAACACATGATTTATTTAAAATTGTGGTATGAAAACTATCATATTTCACTCGTGGCTACCGCCACTCATGATCTATTTATTTTCATACCACTCGAAGAACATAAAACCTGTATGCAGAGAAAAACACTTAAATATCTTTTTTATACAGATCAGTACCTGCATGGAAGCATCATTCTAAAAATAACGAAACAAGATTTCTAAGACGAATACGTTGAACTTCGTAGACTAACACATGATGTTACACTGCCGCTAGCTGTAAAGACGCTAACTTAATAAAGCTACTTTTACAATATATGTGATGACCCCTTGACTTATTACATAGACAGAGTTATATTAAACACTGAAAATGTAAATATGCCCATAATAATCATCACACACTGATGTAGACGTCATTCAAAAAATGATATAAATTTAATTCAAATATTCATCTGCCAGGAAAAGGTGCATCAATATAACATGATTTTAATTAGCTCTTTGACTGAGTGATGAATGTTGAACATTTAATTTGCTGACGATATATTTGACATATGAAGTGTCGGACAAGAATAGCCATGTTCATGAAGACAATGTCTTAAATTAAATATTTCAATAAACAAAAAAAAAAAGAAGAAAAAAGTTGATTTTGTAGAAATAGAAATTATATTGAAAAGACTTCATTGAACTTCAAACGTATCATAATATTTCCTTTGATATAAATGACTCAATCAAACCGAGCCTGTAGTTCTCTTGTAATTTTGTTGTGATAAATGCTTCCGAGGGATCACTTTGTTTCCAGTTATTTATTATCTGACTCACTTTACAAGTACACGGTCACAGTGGTTTGCCTTAAATATTTCAAGTAAAAAGTCTTTTACAGAGATAAATTATTTCTAAGTATGTGCAAGATATGCGTGGGGAAAAAGTTAACCTATTTATAAGTATTCTTTCATAGCAATTTCATAGCATGGTGTGTGACAGGTCAATTGTTTTCTAAATAACAACACAGTAAGGGGTCAAAATTGAAAAAAAAAGCTTGTTCAAACATAAAGAAAAACTTTTAAATTGCTTTGATATTTGTCGTATTGTTTGGTCTTTAAAGGGAATAAAAATTTTATTACATCATATATGTAATGACCAGTAGATCGATTTAAATTAAAAGGTTGAAATATCATTGGAGCTGTATGTGCCTTTAAATAAGATCCTTGACCCCGGGTGTATTGTATATCGTAACTGATTTAACAATCTAACAATTGCATTTTTTTCTCTCTCTCTCTCTCTCTTTTGCATTGTTACATTTTTGCTTGTTAAATTTTGGCTTTACGGTTGAATAAACGTATGCCCGCGTCATTAGAAATGGATAGATTTTAACAAAATATGTAAACATAGAATTTAAAATTAAAGGTCAGCATCATTTAAGACATTATAAATTCCGTTTTTAAATCAAGGACTAATAAATTGGACGCCGTTCTTCCATATGCTGTGACCTATTGCATATGTATAATAATTCGTCACATGTCTAACCGTACCACGAAAATGCGAAAGAAAAGTGATACAAATAGAAAAGATAACAATTCAAAAATACGACAAAAGAACAATGTTATATTGCTAAACATGAAACAATTCGGAAAAGGAAAAAAGATGCGAAAAAAGTAAATATGCGAACATGCAAATTAAGGAGAGAAAAAACGTGTTTTTGTCTAATTTAAGTTAAGCATGACATAAGAAGAAATATTTTATCTGCTATAGATTCTGCGTAAAAATGTTGAATATCCCTACCCTACCTATTAAAATGAAAAGGGCCACGCAAAAGATTACGTCAAAATCTTGCTTTATCGTTGCCGACTTTTGGTAAGATATATATTGCAGTTACGTTTCAATGTGTTTGAATATTGTGATTTGTGAATACAGTGTAATTATAGTTTTAGCAAATAGAAATAATCGTACTTCAAACGATCTTACATGTTTGAGGAGAAACATAATCTTATGTCACAGGTTTCGTTATGTAAAAAAAATCAAACTTTATGATAATATACTAACATCAGTCTTTCATAAAAAGAACATGGTTCTAACTAAAATAAAAGAACAACAAAATGTGCATTATTTATAATGTGAATCAAGAATAACACTTTTTGAGTTTTATTTTTTACTTTTTTATTAACATTGCTTTTTATATTGAGTGTACATTGTAAATGCACATATCTTCATATGTTACTTTCATATTTAAGTATAGTGATTATAAACCCTTTGATAAATGATTAACACCGGCAAAATCTGTAAAACTTTAATATATTGTTGTCTTGTATTATGTTATTCATGGATATTTTGTATTTGAAAATAAGTTTTATTTAGATGCAGTTAGTAGCATTGAGATTTTTGGAATTTGCTATTTTCCCCATGTTCCAAAATCAAGTGGTTCATCATGCCATTGACCAATCGACGGTTGTTCTATTCCATAATCTGAAAAACATAGATTTAATATAGACAACATGAAACGTTATCACAAACAAATCAAAAAACCGTTCTGAATTTTATAGAAATAACATTTGCTTGCCATTTTAGAAAATCCTTTGCTAATATGTCTGAATTTCTTTTCTTTTTTTCTTTTAATTTATAGCCGTCTAATTACACTTGTTTATGTATTTTTCACACCTGGTAAAGGTACTTTGCTTTGATACAAAAGTTTCTGACAAACTTCAAGGTTTTCATGAAATTAATTTTAATTTATATCAAATGTTTCATTATAAATTTTGTTTGATGTAAGACCCGTGTTAACTCTAAGAACCAATTTTCAAAAGATAACTGAATCTCTTATGACATATTTTATAAATGCCAAAATATGAATCTGGGAAGACAACACCTCTAATTTACATACATACATACCAGATGAAGATGCGAGGGTGGTACATTTGTTTCCATGACATTGGTATAGTCCATAACATGAACAGTCGTGATTTGTCACACAACTCTTAGTATCAATGGTGTCACAATCACTCTATCAAATAAACAAACAAATATGCTGAAAAAGATGGTCATTACGAACGGCACGTCAAATTAGAATATACATGTATAACATCGCATTACATGTGCCTAATGATTTCTTTTTTTTATATACTTTCGTTAAAAAAGGACATTAATTAAAAGATAATTATAATTCTATATTATATTATATTAAGTGCATATCTGACAGTATCCCCCGTGACAGGAATCCATACAAAATGTGTTTGAATCATATTTTTTTTAGAATAAATGAATGTTTTTTTTCAACTTATTTATGAACGAAATTACAGAGAAATTATTAATACAAGAATCTAAATATGCAGTGTGAAACACGTTCTCGGAGGACGCGCTATGAAATAAATCTAGTTATGAAAGAGAACTCAATTAATAAAGAGTGTTATCATAAGGGAATGTTATTTCCCAGTGAAAGCGTCACGGGAATTTGTGTTTTCACAGTAAATGCGAAGCAGGTTGGTCTCCTCCAAAACTTGATTGCATTAATAGTTTAAACTTTTGACCTTCCTATATAGACGTGATTTAAAGGCTCTGAAATTTTGTTCTAATTGTAATACTTTTTTTCAACATAAAAACCTTTTTAACTTTGAACATTCGCAATAAGTAACACCATTTTCATGTGGTTATATCAAACCATATATTTGCAAGTATTTATACTTTATGCACCTGATTTAGTTATCATAATTAATGAAAATAACTATAGGAGGATTTTTGATTTTGGGTAAACACCAAGACACATATTAGTATGGACAACATAAAAATATAAATTCCAGTAATTTACTTATTTTGCAATTTGTTTTTATAAAAAAAAGTGGTAAAAGAAAATCGCGTTTTTATTTTATTGAAGTCTTCATTTAACCTATGTTAAGGTGGAATATTGATTTAAAAACAAATAAAACACTTAAAACTTTGAAAACATATGTGTTCAAACAGTTTTTAACATTAAAAGTTATTAATGTTTATGAGTAAGTAATATGTATTAGATTTTCTAACATGGGCTATGAATTTTTTATCGTAAAACAGATTTAAATGCATTTCGTTAAAGTCAAATGGAAGCATACAAAATTTAATAAACATATTTTGTTGATAAAAACGTCACAATTATTATAGAATCAACTTTTAAAATAAATCATTCGTCCTTATTCCTACAATAATCATCTCCTCCAAAAGTATAAACGATACAAAGATAACATTAAATTGTATTTTCTTATCTATGTGATTGTTTATATTCATTTTAATATATATTGTTTTGTTTCGATAAAGTAAGGTTGTAAAGTTTTTGTAAAGAATGAAACACTTACATCATCAGAATTGAAAGACCCAAAGCCCTCTTCAAATGGATCAATAACATCATTATAATACAATGACTCAACGCCAAATTGAGGCTTTGCATTCACAGGTTTGAAATCAGAAAATCCTGATGCTTCATTACTGGGTATGGAACTTTTTTCTGTCGAGTCCTCAAAAAATCCAAAATCTCCAAAACCGTCGTCCATTGAAATGGCACTGTGCGCACTTTTCATATCATTGTGTTTAATTCCCTGATTATTAATCTCCTCTTCTGTTTCGTATAAATATTGTGCGTCACTCCCAGCACCATAAGGTTGACTCTCGATGAAAAAGTCACCATTTGGTTCGGTGAATTCTATGAAAGTATCGAATCCATTGTCTGGACTTGATGCAAAACCATTTAAAACATCTGAAGTATGTAAACTTTCCGCGTTTATTTCGTTATGATTTTGATGCTGCTTTAATGAATATATTTGATGTAAGTCATTATTTGGAGTAATTTCTGCTACATCTTGCCCATTATCAATAAATGAAAAGAAATCACCGTCTGTATTTAAATCTGAAACATATTCAGGAAACTTTTTGAATTTAGGCGTGATTGCTTTGAAAATTCCATTGTTTTTGGGAAAGGTTCATACTTTTGAATGTTGTTGGGGCAGTTAATGGTTAAAAGTATCCATCACTTTACTTTGTTGCATTTTTGAGTAAATACTTTATCCAAATAAGTGTATTTCGCATTTCATTGGTATAATCCTTTTAAGTTAGTATTCTCAAAATCGTTTTCAAATATCAATGGGCTATGTTCCAACAATTTTAAATCTTTGCTGTTTAATAGCTCTTTAGTTTTAGGCTTCAGTAATGTCTGTATAATTGATTTACTTAAAGACGGCATTACTTCATCAATAGGTAAATGTTCATGTTTTACATTTTGCTTGTCCTTTTTTGGATTCTTCAAATGAAATGTAAACGATTTAACTCCTGAAAAATGATCAACATACGGCCTAATAGATTTTGGTTTATCCCCATTGTTTATATAAGTCGACTTAAAACTTGACAAGGGATGTTCTTCATTTAGCAGCATCGAGTTCTTTTTAAAGTTCTGAAGACTTGTTATAAACGGTGAAAATTGAAACGTAGGTTGAAACTTTTGTTCCGGTTTAATAGAGGATTTTCGATTGAATGCTACGGGATTGAACTCAAAGAAACGTTTTAATTTATTGTTTGCCGGAACATATGGAACAGACGAAGATTGTTTCAATCTTAATAATCGTGTTTTATCCACTTGCATAGGATTAAGTGACGATTCAATATTTCCAATCCGAAATCCATCTAATCCAAGAATGTTATAAAGTATCCAAAGAATCAAAGGTTTTGCATTTATTTCCATATTTCAACTACAAATCAAAGGCAACTTGCATTAAAAGTTGAACAAGAAAGTAACTTATAACAATAAATAGCTGCAACTCTTTCAAATCGTGTTTTATGTTTTTACTCAATTTATTCTGAAATCAAACTGCTGTACTAAAGACAATTTAATCATAGCCTCAATATTTTATTGCGTATCCTTATTTTATGCTGAATTATGATTTAAAACAATTTTCAAAATATATACAACATGGTTTAGTTTTGTTTCTATCCAGTGTACACATAGTCCTTGTAATATTCTGTTAAAGAGTGAGAGGTTTAACTTACTATTCAATTATAAATATTTTCAGGCTTCACCTCCTCATTACGGATAAAGATTTACTCAAAGCAGTTTCCTTCTTTCTAATTTTGCCAATCCTTCAAAAGCATTAAAATGACGAATCAAAAGATTTTCTCCCTCTAATGAATATCTCCTTAATTTAGACAAAAAACCCTTTACTTATTTATATTAATCGTTCACATCAAATAAACCGTTTGATATTACCACGATACGTTTATATCTCCTGATACATTATCGCTTATTAAGACAATATTGAAAAAACAAAGTGGAGTCTATCAACTAATGGTATGCCAGTTATATTTCCAATAGTGTTGACGATGTGGCGGAGTTTGTACGTAAGCCAATATCGTAATTCAAAAACTATTTTCTATACGAACTGAGAGATTACCACGTCACAAAGCGTACGGAACATGGAGAGTAAACAAGAGACACCGTTTCTTAAATAGTAGTCTTAGTCATGTACTGAACTTGTAGGAGTAGAAAAAAACATGTAATTATGGTAGGAGGGAATATGTATTTTCGAGGACGTCACATGGAGACGATGATTTAAAGACGATTTTATTGATGGGACTTTGTTAAAATATGTTCCGCGCAATTTCAACATGTTATCTTTAAATAACAGTTTTCTAGTCAGACGATGCACACATTTTTAATTATTATATTTATGCACGATTAGAAATAAGAGACCTGTTGTTGATATCTTTTTCTGCAATTAAACTATTTAAATTGTCTGTTCGTTTTTTATCCTTTTAAAGTCTTGCACGGATTAAAGCTCCTAGTTTTTTACCAGCTCACAAGGAAGCACAAAATAGTAACTGTAGGATGTTATATCAGTTGCCACATTTATCGATTATCATTCCATTGATTTAAATTAAACTTTTTGATTTCGTGATTAATAAAGTTCAAGGTCCGTTATTTTTAATTTTTACTTACTTTTAATTTTAAATACATATTCAATTATTTTATTTAAAATTATTGTTATTATTATTATTATTATTATTATTATTATTATTATTATTTAAAAATACCTCAGAAATACCCTTTTACAACTTGTCCTTTCTTCAAATTGTCTAATTCGGCAGCTATTTTTTCGTCTAATCGTTCTGAATTATTTCGAGTGTCTAACGACTTCGTGTGCCGGTTACTTATACATGTATGATTTTGAGTCGAATTCCAAGTAAACTTGTTGACCCTTTACAACTTCTAACATTGATGAATAGCAAGTATTAATTTTGATTAGTTCAGGGCTATAAATGCCAAAACATTTATCAAACATGACCCACCCACAAGCTAAATGAAAATTTTAATTGTTTGTAAATTATTTAATTGGTTAGTTAATTGTAAGAATGTGATTATCGATTTACAAGTTCATTTTAATATCGCTGTAGATGGTTTTATACCTTACATACGTTAATCATGATAATGTCAATATTTTAATACTGAGAGTAGTGGAATTTGTATATCACTTAACAATCTAATTTCCCAATTCATGATTAAAGCAAGCCAAGCGAAATCGGAATTAACTTTAATTGCAGAAGTGTTTGCCTGCGAATTTGCAATAATGACTCCATACACTTTCCATAATCCAAAGTTCAATGCGATTTCGAAACGCTAGTTAGCATTTAAATTTATTCAATTTACGTGTGAAAGGATTATCGAAGTTACAGCATGAAATGTTACTATTGATTTGGAATTAAATCAATGTACAAAATAATTCAAAACGTTTATCACAGGCAGATATATTAAGCCGGTACAGAATTGGACACTAGGTGCCGACAAAGACGGTGATTCTGTAATAAGGGTAACAGGTTTAGGTTGTAACGGGGCTCTTCCGAGTTTTTAATTAACAATGTCTCAAAAACCTGATAATCCTGCATGTGACGGAAAACAGTTTTATACGTTTCTTTTTCTTTGTATAACGTATTAATTATAGGAAGTAAACATGACATTTAGCACGATTTCTTTTTTTTACAGCATATACATTTTAAGCGTCATTCATTTACGGCAGAATGATATCATCCTTAGCACTTGACTCATTCATATGTTACCAAAGAAAATACCTCAATTTTAGGGCTGCGTTCAAACTTCCCTCTCTATTGTTGGTCTTTACTTCTATATTACATTAATAAAGCTAACGAAACGACGTCATGTCGACGTCATTTTACACAAGTTACCATTTTTATAATTATCGTGATTTGTTTTACAATATATTCGGTTGTTTCGTTTTGTTGGCTTTCAAGTTCAATAACTATTACAGTCCATGAACAAAGCATCATACCGAGCTTGAAACATTTTCACTTTTGCAGATTTTGTCGTCGTTTTTTTTCTCTTTTCTGTTTCATTGAGCCTGCTCATGGATGGTAGTGGTAAATACAAGGTACTGTCTACACCCACTAACGCCGGATTAAACAGAATTCAACATAAAGCAAGAATATGGTGAAATAATTTTTAATTTAGAAACATCAGCAGATGTGTAAATACGGCACAAAACAACAACAACAACAAACAAGAACACAATGAACGAAAGGTCATATAACGACAGTCCATGTTTGGTTTCATGGCGAACCATCATAGTATAGGTCATATTGCGCCGACAGGAATAATGATTCTGGCTAAACTCTGGTGTTTTAAACTTCAAAGCCACACAAAAAGTCAAAAACCACCTCAAATTCTGGAGCTAAGAGCAGCATAGACTCTACTTATTCGAATCCATTTAGTCGCCTCTGCCGATCACGCAGAGATAAACGGTACCTGCAGTTCTGACGCCTCAGACGTTAAAAAAAATCCTCAGACACATGGGTATTACGGAATAGATAAAAACACAAATCGAAATAGCTTAATTTTGACGAAAAACTTATATATGTATAAAACTACTAAAAAGGTTATATGACACAAAATGATTACATGTATATTACTTTCTTGGTAACATATAAACTTTGATTCAAATGAATACTAATATAAACATTATGTTGTTTACATATTTTTATTAGCGATTCTCGAAAGATTTGTAACAAAGAATGACTCTGTTATTTAACACACATCCATATTTTATGTAAGCAGAGTAAAATGGTCCAGAACAAAACATTGTTCTGCTATTTAAAAAAGGTTTTAATTGCTTAGCAATAATTTCGTGCATATGTCATTATGGTAAAAGACAAACTTATTTACTGTTTTTTCGATCCATTCTTCTTTTTTGTCAAATTACAAACAATGTTTTTGAAAAGATGTAGGCAGCAGACATAAAACTTGAAATACTTAAAGAATCAGTTTTATACATTTCATATACATAGTATTATTTGATGTTCATGGTAACAAAAAAACATGTATATGTCATATTCTAACACTATCGGTAATGTTTCTATGTAAACCAAGTAAACAAAGAAGTCCCGAAGCGTGCATTATTCTACAACAATGCACTCGCCGTTCTTATTATCTCCCTGTGTATTTTCACATTGAGGGCGCCATTTTGTTTGAATAAAAAACAATTTTTTTGTCGGATTTTGTTGTGAAAACTATCAAGAATGAAAGAAAATGGTCTAACTAAGAAAATAAATCCGAACACCAATATTTTTTATTCAGTCGTTAACGCTGTAAAGACGTTTAAAGTGTTGTTTACGTGACGTCACAATGTAGCGCCAAACAGCACGTGCAGAACAATCAAATCAAGTACGCTATTTTAATGTCGCAAACGAGTTAAATTCTGGAAACAAAGTGATCCCTCGGAAGCATTAATCACAACAAAATAACATAAGAATTGCAGACTCGGTTTGATTGAGTCTGTACATGAGGGATAATGAATAAGTGCAACATCCCTCACGCCCCCTAGCACCGGCTTGAGCGGTACTCAATAGAGCGGTACTCAATTCTCAACACTTTATAGTGTTGGCATCAATGATCCCGAAGGACCAGAAAATATAACAACACTGAAGTGAAGTACGGGGCAACTTTTTACGGCTGCCACACGGCACTTGACACCTGCTGTTGTGAAGTACAAAATTCTGGAAACAAAGTGATCCCTCGGAAGCATTAATCACAACAAAATAACATAAGAATTGCAGACTCGGTTTGATTGAGTCTGTACATGAGGGATAATGAATAAGTGCAACATCCCTCACGCCCCCTAGCACCGGCTTGAGCGGTACTCAATTCTCAAGAGCGGTACTCAATTCTCAACACTTTATAGTGTTGGCATCAATAATCCCGAAGGACCAGAATATATAACAACACTGAAGTGAAGTACGGGGCAACTTTTTACATCTGCCACACGGCACTTGACACCTGCTGTTGTCAAGTACAAAATTCTGGAAACAAAGTGATCCATCGGAAGCATTAATCACAACAAAATAACATATGAACTGCAGACTCGGTTTGATTGAGTCTGTTCATGAGGGATAATGAATAAGTGCAACATCCCTCACGCCCCCTAGCACCGGCTTGAGCGGTACTCAATAGAGCGGTACTCAATTCTCAACACTTTATAGTGTTGGCATCAATGATCCCGAAGGACCAGAAAATATAACAACACTGAAGTGAAGTACGGGGCAACTTTTTACGGCTGCCACACGGCACTTGACACCTGCTGTTGTGAAGTACAAAATTCTGGAAACAAAGTGATCCCTCGGAAGCATTAATCACAACAAAATAACATAAGAATTGCAGACTCGGTTTGATTGAGTCTGTACATGAGGGATAATGAATAAGTGCAACATCCCTCACGCCCCTAGCACCGGCTTGAGCGGTACTCAATAGAGCGGTACTCAATTCTCAACACTTTATAGTGTTGGCATCAATGATCCCGAAGGACCAGAAAATATAACAACACTGAAGTGAAGTACGGGGCAACTTTTTACGGCTGCCACACGGCACTTGACACCTGCTGTTGTGAAGTACAAAATTCTGGAAACAAAGTGATCCCTCGGAAGCATTAATCACAACAAAATAACATAAGAATTGCAGACTCGGTTTGATTGAGTCTGTACATTAAGTTTTACATTTATTTCACTTTTGATAATTTGTATTTCGCTTGAAAAATTATAGAGTGAAAAAAATAAACAAACAAAGTTTTATCAACGTTTTCAAAATTCGTTATTCTCAAAATGGTTCTACACACGGAAGATTTAACGACAGTTTTTTTTCAACCCACTGGAACAGCCTTTAAAGAACGTTTCTATTGGAAACTCTGAGGCGAAAACAAATTTAACCACCAAACATAAAGTCCAACTTTATAATAATAATTATATTTTTTCTTGACGTGTTAGAATGTAAATAGATATTAATTCTTCGTGCATTATTGTATAATAATGCACGTTTTTCGTTCAAATGCTTTGTAATTAATCACTCAGGCCTATCGGCCTTCGTGATTATATTACTACGCATTTGAACTCAAACCGTGCATTGTTCTACAACAATGCACTCAGAATTGATATCTATTTCCTAAATAAACAAAAATGTATCATAAATAGAAATAAAAGAAAGTTATAAATTCATGTATTTAATTATGTTTGTTATAGCTCATGATAAAGCATTAAAATGCTTTAATTTGTCTATACAGGAAAGATCATTTTGAAGCAAAAGAGGTTACACAAAAACTTGACAATTTCAGAATCGATTTAATTTTGAATAAGTATGTTCAAATAATACAAAAAATATAACAACAGAGGAGAAATACGGGACTACATTTTACAAATGTCAAACAAAGATTTTTCGTCTGCTGCCATGAGTATAAATTAATTAAAAACCTTCGAGAGCAATGAAAAATATTCACAGATTGGTTGTGTTTCATGGAAGATATTGAAAAGTGCCCCAAGCGACAACGATGCTTTTATTTTTATGGCACATTTTATGTGGTATGTTGCTTTTTCCGTGTGAAAAAGGACATTACTTGCTCCAAATACAATGAAGCACAAATTCGCCTTTCAGAGAAACAAACATACTAAGTTTAACACATTACTATGGAATGGAATCACTTTAAATGTAAAACATTTTCAAAACAAATGCAATTTGATTAAAACATTTTAGAACATTCTTTTAAATGAACAAAAAATATATGTATACTTATAATGTTAAAATTGTTCCATGAGAGCGAATACGTAGTCGATATTTCATTGAAAATACTCGTTTGACATGATTATTTGTTGAAGAAGGTTTCTAGCCTGGTACCTGAGTAGAAAACACCCATCTTCCGTAAGCTTGCTTGATAGCTTGCTCAGAAGAAATATTCTAAAGGACAGAAATCTACAATACCAGTACAAAACATGTACTTATATAGTATAAGTATTCCTATCACAAGTGAGACCCAAAATGGAAAATGTTACAAAATATTGAATGTTTGTGTTAGGCTCGATTAAGTTGATATTTAATGTTAATTCACCATTTAAAACCTTGAGTCTTTTGCTTTAAGAAGAACAGAACAAAATATTGAAGAAGCGCAGATTACGAGATTACATTTTGTAACAACATGTGCGCATAACATATACAAGTCCCTTTAGGGGTATCAGTATTTCACGCTTCTTGTGTAGAAAGTGGTAATAATCAACTTATATATACATGTATTTATAGAAGAATAGACGATTTTAAAAAAGTACAATAGAAACTATATACTGGGACATGACTTTACAATTTACAAATTATCAATAACAATTTAAGCTCATATTATCTATATATCAGGAAAATATATAATTATATATACATATGAAAAAAACGGAGAGTTATGCAAATCGTTTGACAATTTATCATATTATTAGCAACTCATATAAAGCGAAATGTTTTAGATCTTCGATAACTGGCAACTAATGCTGGTTGAATATAACATAAGTACTATATAAAAATCTATACCAATAGTAAAACAGTAACCGGCTTCTTGAATATTATTGACAGAATTATAATCTTCTAGTGACTGTAATAGTGTTTTACTCAGATGAATCGGTTACCCGTTAAATGACAATGTGCCTTCAACTTTTGTCAAATTGCAATTGTTTATAGTGATAATAGGAAGAAATATATCTGGTAAAAATGTGAATCCTAGTAAGTATTATACTACGTAACCATACACTTGGGAATCAGATAAGATTATTAATTTAAAATGAAAATCATATAAGTGTTTGATATATAGCCCCTGTTTAAAGGAAGACACAGGCAAAATTTTCATTTCTTCGTTTGAACTTTTCATTCGTTATTCTGTAAATGTCCTCAAAATGAATACACTAGGCAGTCGTCACACCAACAAAACTTTACTCATAGTAAAGAATAAAATGATGGTTTCCTAACTTTACCCATTTGAGCGTTAAAATTTTACAATAGTTGACAAAGTGAACTCTGGAAACCTTAAAGAACATGTCAAATGAATGGCTTAGGCTTGTTTCAATCATACAATATTTATAATATCTATTATTGTAACCTCTAGGCTTTGTTCAAGTCACATGACTTGTTTTAAAACTACTCAGTGATTCTGTCGGCGGCTAAATTTCGTAAATAATTATAGATATATTTACGCTTCAAACCCCCAAAAATATAGAATTTATACAGAAATTCCCGACGGGGCTTCAGAAAATATCATTTTAGCATGATTTGAGACAATAAGATCATTTTAATAATTTTGTCATTATTTGCCTGAGTATCCCTTTAAAAGGACATAATAGTTTGATAAAAATTTAATAAATGTATTATAAAATATATATGAACAGAAAGTAAAAGTCATGGAAGTTAAGACATAAATGCGGCTAGTAATTACCTTAAGCAATAGCGTTGAATTACAAACTATGATCAATTAATTAATCTAAAATGTCACTTAAAATGATAAAATGATACATTGTATAAGATTATACTAAACAAAATACAGGCTACTGTATGTATGAGAACACTAATACAGAATGGTTAATTGCTCTGATGTTGGAACTTGGATCACAATTACCCTTGAGATATCAAAACAAGTTGGCTCATGTGATTACGATTGACTTATTTCTTCACATAGGTTGTCTATTCTTTTCTTCACGTTTATTGCTGAATCAGCAGTATCTGTGTATATATGAAACACCATTCTCGAGAGGTCGGTTTGATCTGTAGATTTGGTTTCCCAGAACTTAGACACTGTGAAAGAATATTAAAGAAAAATATTATAAATACGGTTGTAATTTACTTTTATTTTTATCAGCTTACTTTATTACTCATGTTCATTACTTTGACTGATACAAATACCGTTTTTATTTTTTATTTTAGAAAAAAAAACTATTTTAGTTATCCTATGTTTAATTCAAAACTTTGTGGGATGCTTTTGAATCTGATTATAATACCGAACGATACATAGCACGCTTTAAGTATTAGGATTAATTGATTATCTGTTCAAATAAATTAATTGTTTGTTAGTTGTAAACATTGATCAACCGTTTGTGACAGTACTTTGCTTGCAATTTTGGTTTCTATTCCGTGTCTAACGATTGCATATATACTTACAAAATGACATTCGCTTAGCTGCTTTAAGAGCAGATTTTGCTTCCTTCGTGAATATGTCTTCCATTTCAGCATCGTATACCACAATCTTGATACTTTTTAGGCATCCCTGGTAACTGTCGCCGCGAATGTATTTTTGAAATGCGCTTATCATTGTTCTGGCCATTTCGCTGACAGGAAATCCTTTGCCACCTGCATATAGATTATATGTAATTTCAATCGGGAATTATAACGAAAAATTAATTTTAAAAATAGAAGTTTGAAATGACGAATGTTATAGTACACCGTACGATAAAATTATACACAATTTTTTTTATTCTAAACTTGTTACTTTTCAAATGTTTAAATTTGTGTTCAGTGTTGTTTATTCTTATCATACAATAAGTCCGCATAACACGACGTTAATATTTGAAACGAGAGAATATAAAAAAGAGGAAATAAAGATTTACTAGGTATGGTGACATTAAAAGAATGCAGTCGTATTGGTTGAAATAATTACCTGTACCCATGGCAGGAAATGATACTGAACTTAACTTTAAACGTTCTACTTCAGCAAGGCTTTTGACAAAAGTTCTTTTCCATCCCTCGAAACCGTTTCTGGCACGTACATGTATTATCTTCTGACATATTAAACTCCCAGAACTTGTTGTCACTAAATCTTCCTTCTTGAATGTTTCGAGGAGTCCGTACGCTGCAAGTATAAGCATGATAAGATTTTATAACCAATATTTTGATAACATAAAACTACAGTGCAAAAAAATAAGTTTTCCTTAAGGCTTCAATGGGTTTAATTTAATTTAAAATAAAAACATTATAATTGCCATCGAGTAATTTCACTTTGTCCGGGATCGAACCGGTGACCTGTGTCCTATTGAGCTAAGCCATCTTATAGTGGAGAAAACAACTTATAGAAGACATTCAAGAAACAAGCTTGTACATTAATGTTGTACAACTTACAAAACTCTTATATTATTTATTTATTTATTTTCTTCTTAAAATGTGTCTACCTATAAAATATGGGTGACATCTGAAGGATAGACACTTACAGCTTACAGAAAATGTGTAATATGTTGAAGGTCAAGTACATAACTTGTTGGAAAATCTACTGTTTGTACAACAATCATTACTTAAATAAGCATATTCAAATATATAAAAATGTTTTACTTAATCCGTTACTTATGTATTTATATTGCAAACAAAGAAAATATAATAATAATAACCTTGGAACTGAATGGTTCTTCCAGCGGCTCTCAAAATTGATTTGGAAATCTCTCCGGTATCTAAATTTAGATCTGATGAAACGCTGTTCACAATAACGGCTGTGTCGGCCTTAGTTATGTCCCCTTGCTGTATACTAACGGTCACATGGCCAATCTTTGTTGTAAAGTATGGACCTAAACGGAATTATATATTTTTGTCGTTTTAGGCGTTTTTTCATGGTTTCAAAGATAAACAAAGTATTTATAAATTAGTTGATATGATAGCAAATTGATAGTATAATTTTAAATCAACTACTTATATATTACAGTTTGATTATATTATTTCCAGTTTTTGTGGAAATGAAATACACTAAATTCCCAGAGAACTGAACTGTATATTGTATTATAAGATTATATGATATAAATGTATTATGCCATTATGTTTTTCATAATAGTAAAATAAATTGTAAGGTGAAATAGTGGATGGATCCCCGAGACTATTTTACCTATGACTGAGACAATTAACGGAGTTACCTCTTGGGCTTGAAAAATTAAATAAAAAATGCAACACATTTCTATATACATTAACTTTATACATATGTTAAGTGATGATACAGCACAACACATCATCACTATTTATAAATGATAGATGTATAACGTATGATAAATTTGAAATGGTAAGTATATAAATTATAATAAATATATGATGCTCAATATTCAGAAACATTTACCTAGAAAAACGTTTTCTACTGCAAACATTTGAGTGACAGATATTAAAACTTAAAGGTAAATGTTATATATTATTACCTTCGGAGGGATATGATATATGTTATATTCGACATAATATATATTCTAGAAATAAAACAAAAATAACAGCAGCATATCTTCAAGTACAATAGAATCCTAAATTTTAAAGCCAGTTATGGTCGGTTAACCAGCAAATTTTAATAAAGAGTCTTTTTGATAAAAAAAACAATTATCCATCAATCTATTGAAAGAAGCAAAGTAGGATTCTTCTTATTAGACTCAGGTAAAGTAATATTATAATCTATTACATATATAAAACAAAGCGCATGAGTTATAATAATGATACGAGACAAAATTACGTTCGAAATAGTCATGATGAAACTTTAATTTTAACCCACCAGTGCTTTTTATAAACACACTCTCCCGTATACAACGTTGTCTGCTGTGTATCATAGACAGTTGGGAAACCATTGCCTTGCGATCGTATGGTGTCTTGTATTCTTCAAATGCCTGGATCATAAAAAATATAAAAAAATATTCCAAACTATTTCATTTGTAAAAAAAAACAACATTCTTTTAGAACAATGAGAGCATAATAGAATAGATATGCGGAAGTTTCAGATGTATTTTTGTTCGGGAGAAATGATTTGCATTGCATCATTAGGAATAGTGATATTGCAAGACCAGGCGACAATGTCGCATGAGATTAGGAAGGATGATACTTTATTTTATGCTTTTGAGTGAAAATTATATTTGATAATTCCACAAAATCAAAATAAAATATCATACTTTTCAATGATGAGACTACTTTTTCTTTTTGCTTACAATTCTGACATTATCAGGGCTATTTATGGAAAAGCAAAAATGAAATACATATTAAATAACTTAACTTTAATTAATTCCAATCACCAAATTTTATATCGACTGTCTGACTCTTCAAATTTTTGTTTTATTTTTACAGTTTGAAAAATTTCACTCCCTTCCACTTGCAAAACTGCTCTTAATAACATTTGGGCATATCTAATTATCCTACGAGCAACAACTGCCTAATGCAATATGAAAAGCAATCACAGACACCAGCCAGAAGAAGCAGTAAACAACCCAGCATTTGGAAGACAGCCTTTCAAGAATTCCATGTTTTCCAAATCCCTAGTTGCTTTTTGAACGTTTATACATTTGTCAACAATTATTTATTGTCTGTTACAATCTTAACATCTTTGAAACAGTGGCGAATGATTTCATTACAAACTTCGTCTGATATATAAGCTTATGCCTAAAATAACGGAAATACGGTCGGCTTGGTGTGATATTTTCTTCTACCTGAACTGTTTGTTTTTATTATTAAGACAAGCAATCATTCATATTCTTTTAAATAAAATAGAAAATATTATCAACATTAAACGTTGATTTTTAACTGACTCATGTATTTATGAGAACTACGCCTAAACTGATGGCTACCAGTTGGGCAAACAAACTTTGATATTCAAGTAAATATGAGGGAATTTCATCTTAAATGGTATTCAAGCATAAATTAAAAAATATTGTTTTTGTTTGTTGTGTAAGATGTTGTTTTATTTCATCGCATGAACTTCTAAAACAGTATGCCACTCGTGAGAATACTGTTTAAAAGCTTACTCAATAAAATAAAATTTCATCTTAAACAAACAAATATCCTCTATTTATCAAATATTAATAAAACAGTTTATTAAATATCTAAATCGGGTTTTGTTGCTTTTCAAATAAATAAAAAATCTGTGATAGGAAATAACGAAATGCGTATACCCGGACCGATATGTCCAAGTCTTCACGCCACATGCCGTTATAAACATACGTTTTTCAAACGGAAAAGTAATTAATTGACTCTGTTGCGCATTTAACAGTAGCAAAGTAACATCCATTGGTTCAAATAATTTTTTTTAAATATTATCAAAGATATAACTTACTTTTAGTGCTTGTTCATCTTCTGGTTGTATTACTATACGAACAGTTTCAAAGGTATGTACAGGATTCTCTTCGCCAAATTCTTCAATGGCTTTAACCATTATTTTTGCAACACGTTGAGGCGGGAAAGAATGTGTTCCTGTTGCAAGTACTGGGAAAGCTATAGATTTATAACGTTTCTTCATAGCAGAAGAAAGACAACTTTGAACGAAGCAATTCAGTACCTGAAGAATATTACATATATAACATATTTTCACTAACATTGTTCCCTTATCATATTAAAATCATTTTGAAATTGACACAAAATGACTAAGCGTGACCTTTACTTTCACCTGAAAATGTCAAACCTGCGCTCTGTATACATCGTTTCATTATGGATAAGTTATATCTTCTGCGTGTGTTATGGAAAATATACTTTTTAACATTTTAGAGGTAACTATGACAACATTTAATAACATACCCAAAAGTAAAATACTAGTGTGTCGAAACAGAAATTATTATATATTTTGATCTTAAGTTGCACAAAAACAAATCAATTAATAGGTAATCATAAACAAATTTAAATGGTAGGATTCATAACAAAATTAAAATATATTTAAAATAGGGAAAAACAGAATCCCTGAAGAACGTCCGAAACAACAAAAATGAAAATGTTGCTGGCTGACTCGGTTTGATTAAGGCTGTTCATGGGCATTACTGGTGAGTGCAAGTGGAGTCGGCTTAATCGCTAAAAAAATAAGAAGTTATAAGTTTTAAGAAATTGTTGAATCTATTATAACTACAATATGTTGAAATCGACGTTAAAACATCCAAACTAACCATAAGATTATATAAAACATTTAGTTCACATTTCCTTCACAATGAAAATAATTGTTACCATTTCTGCATGACCTTGGCCATTGTCCCAATCTACAAGAACTCCGTGATAAATTGCTTTACATTTCAAATTTCCAGCTTTTGATTCAGCAATTTCGCCCGGCAAAATACCATTTGGATATAATTCCTCGAGTTTGGATTCTATTTCATCACCGCCGTCTTTTACAATAGCCTTTGAAAGTCTACCAATTCGAAGATTGAGCTCGCTGTTTGTTGAATTAACAATAACGTCTACCTGTTTATACAAGATAAGCAATCAAATGTTTTTGCTATACCATTTTACTATAGACATGATCTCAAAGTAACAATATAAAACAGAAATCTTTCTCAAAACCACCAGTAATAACTGAATTTTGTTTTAAATAAAAATACTTTGAAATTATTTACTTTAGTTTGAAAATAAAGATTTACCATAATTAATCATATGTTCAGGTCTTAAAAAAAGAAAAATACTTGCATCTTGTGATACCAATGAGCCTGTCACAATTTCTGGATATATATTATATCCGTACAATTCATTGGCCTCAGCTCGGCTTTCTGTTAACATCTCTGAAACAATGTAAACAAATATGTAATATATAATCGGGGGAAAAGTGGCAAATGTGTTCTTGTTTGTTTACCAGATCTACAGTATTATGACTGGTCTGAAAATACACAACATAAAAGTATTAAAGCGATATGAATTAAAATGAAACAGTTAAAGAATTTTCATTATGTTGCACATTTACTTAAAACCATTGTTTTGGCAGTCTTTTTTTAACAAAAACATGTGCTTTCTGACTTTGAAATTCTATATATACGGTTGATAATAGAGAGCCTACACTGAGCAAACATTATACTGCAAATATTAATGGAAACGTCACCTGGAATCAAAATAGTTGACTGAGGTATTTCGTTCTTCATCGCTTTGACAAAAAGCAAAGAAGATTCCTTTTCAACGTCATGCATGTAAATATGTCTCAAACAAGTATCAGCCCCGTTTTCCATGAGGTATTCTTTTATTGATTTAATCATCTGTTCCACAATGACATCACTCGGATAACGAAATCTTCCTGCACCTAAAGGGGGGAAGGCAATGCTTGTAGCCTTCCTATTCTCCCCTTCCAAAAGGCATTTAGTTACGGCGTTGCTTATTATTGATTCCTTTTCACTATTTTCCTTCGTCCAGACGGGTAATACGACGTGAATAATTTCTCGACATGGGAGATGCCCGGATGAAGTTATGAACGTGTCTCCATCGTTTACGCATTTTGCTTCTGAAATGTACTGTTGACATTCTCTTTGGATACTGAAACCACCTACAAAATTAGAACAAATAAAGAAGCAAATGTAAATATCTTAATAAATTGTGCAAAGTATTTATTTTCAAGTCACGTGCATTTGGAATAGAAAAGGAAACAATGATGAAGTTATAATTATGCTGTTAGTGATAAAAGAACATTTGAGCTTATTTATTTCTAGTTTAATGCATATCTTTTAATGAAAAAGCCAAATAGATATATTTTTAACGTTTACCTTTATCAATTATTGTGCGGGCTAAACCATATTTGTGATCAAATGTAGACTCATTTGGAATGACTATGAAATCAACTTCAGCCTCGGTAATGTCGCCCTTTAGAATTTGAATTTCGCAACCCCCTATCCTACATTCAGAGAGGCACACGTTTGTAGGAACAACTTGTGATTCTGGTGTGGAAATTCGAATTACGCACTTCTCAGATAACTCAAATGTTTTCAATTTGTCTATACCTTCAGATGTTCCAAAATATTTGCTCAATTCATGACTATTCACTGTGTGTTCATCTCGAGTTATTGTTTCTGCAACAAAGTCACGCAAATGAGCTATTGCAGTTTTACAGCTTTTTCTCTCCCCCTTTACAGCAAATCCTTTTCTAGTAAGCTTATCAAGCACATCTATTTCAACATTCATGTCCTCGTAATGTTGTAAAATCTTCCTGATTGATGTCTTCTTATAACTAAATAGATACCGAAATTCACCAGGATCAAGATGAAAATCCTCCGAAACGTTTGTATGTAAATCAAGAAATTTCTTTACTTTTTCGACTATTTCATCATGCAAACTATCCCATGACAAAATAAGAAGCCTATTTGTAGAACAGTCGAATTGGACTTTTTCTTTATATTCCGTTTCTAGCTTTGCAAGGAACTTTTCTTGTTGCAGATGGTCCCTTAGCTCCCTTTCAATCTCTAAGCTTGTACTTCTAAAACATGAACGTATGCACCTCTCTACTGTTATTAACCCGTTACAAGTTAAACTGTACAGTTCTAGAGTACCCTGTCCTACAAAGTGCCAACATCCGGTAACCTCCGATTTCATCAATATTTGCTTGACATAATGGTTGGTTTTACTTGTATGTAGTAAGGCTAGTACCATTGGACTCAAACCTTCAAACATAAATAAGTACATTTATAACATTATATGTTAAATGTTTAAAAGTTTATGAATGTATTTTTTGAAACACAGATTCATAAAATAGACACGCGACGATAAATACTAGTAGTGTTATAAAAAGGGCATTTTTATCTCAATTGTTTACTATATCATAACCTGACCTTTTATGTCTTTTTTCGGAAAATCCCGTATCATTTGAACTACTTTGTTCACAGCAGAATCTACCATCTGTTTCCTTCCCTAGAAAGAAAATACAAACCATATATCAATATAAAATCTACGTCTGTAATATTTTATAACGTGATATTATTTAATAAGCATTTAATTCTACTACTAGCTGTATAAAAACATCCTGCATCAAAAAAAATATCTTTAATCAATACAAATATTTATATAATATTTATAACAATAAATGACAATAAATGATCGTTTTAAAATATCGCCTTTAATCATGTACCTTTAAAACTAATGTTTTGTTTTTAAGTGTCCTTTCCACATTTTTAAGCTTCTCAAAGCTGTTACTAGCGTCCAAAAGTTCAAATTCGAACGGTTTCAGCTTCATGGTTTTTGTAAGATATTTTCCCTGACTGTCATGTTCCTGTTCAATCGACGTTATCATGTTTTCAACCCGACTGGCCCATTTTTCAGCGTCATTCTGATAACCAGCAATAACCACTCTATTCTCTTCAATTTTTATGAAAAATGAGTCTGGATTAGTTGACCCAACACTTTCTATTCTTGATCGAAGCTGTGATTTTATCTGCATGATAGATAAAACTCAATATTATAATGGATACATCTCTAATTGCTTATTCCTGTCCGAGAACTATAAAAAGTAATTACAAATAATCAGTATAAATAAACAGAATGAATGTACTAATCATTTATGACGCATGAATATAGGAACATTAATTATGTTTTCATATTAACATGTTTCTAGTGTTTGTTTGTTCCAATTGAATGTTTCTGTTGTACTGATAAGTTACAGTGACTTTTGTCTGATGATTAACTGTAGCTTTGAAAACCTAATGACAGACAAACATGTTACTGCGAATTCACTTATATCAAAACGGGCATTTTTGTGGGTTCTTAAATTCGTGGATTTTCAATTTCTTGGGAAAAAAAAACTAATGCAAAGTAATCTTACAGTTAATCGCCGCGCATTTTACTTACCGCATGAACATATCTTTACGTATTACACAGCGCTTGTCAATAAATTCATTACACAAACATCGGATGCAGGTTTGTAATATATAGAAAAGTGACATGGCTAGAAGTATTTGTTGAGATAAAATTTCGATGGATCTTAAATTCGTGGATTGACATACCAACGAAAACCACGAAAATTCGTGCCCCACGAATAATAATGATTTTACAGTATATTAATGACAATAAAAGTAGAAATATGAAAGTATAATTTGAATAACATAAAAATAAACATTAAAGCGTTACGCCGTGAAACATGACAAATTCAAAAGGAAATGAAGAAAAAAATAGTTTATTTTTAGAACTATGTAGGATGTGTGGCTATCGTCCTTTTAAGGAAGAGCAAATCTCCTTAAATGATATAAATATCTTATCTAGCAGCATCTAACCTCGTTAACCATATCATCATATAGAAAGTAATATATTTATCTTATTGTAAATGGTCACCCTGCAAGATAACATGCAAAACCGCGCTTCCTTTATTTATTTTGTACTGAAGTGGTCAGTTTTTTTGCGTGAATACACATACCATCTCGACTTCTTGCCATGTATTTTCATGTTTTCCTTTTTTTAATGTTTTTTTCTCCTTTTTTGTGCATATATATTGATATTTTGCCAATAGCCCTTCTAAGGGCTTTAATACAAATACATATAAAAGTTCTTCTTCTATTAAAATCTAACAAAGCGATGTTTTAAGAGGCGTCACTCAGAATGTGTGTAACGCTACGCGCAATTCAATTCAGGTTATATAAAGCTTAAATGATAGAAACGTATGTTTGTTTTACAAGCTCAAATTGCGTGTATGAAAAAACTGTTACATCCAACATGGGGATATTTCGTCTATCGCTTACGATGTTTGAAAAGAACAACGCATTAAAATGCATATTAAATAAAATTTAAAATTCGAGCAATGAATTTAAAAAAAAACATCATATTGTTTCTACACGATAAACATTTTTATTTAGCATACTTTTAGTATGTATTATTCTTATACTCCCTACCTCTAAGGCAAAGTATTGTATTTTTACAGAGAACATTTTGCATATCTGAGCCACCACTCCTGTTATATTTTCCTTCCAATCTTTGACCTTTGCAATGGCCGTTTTATCATTTTCATCAATATTGCACTGTATATATAATTTCCTTTCCATTCCAGTATCAGGCCATATGATCTTCCCATGATGACTTTCTACAATTTCTTCAACATCTTTTTTGGGCTGTTGAGACTCTTGAAGAAAACTTGAAACAAACAAAATTGTATGTCGCAATTTATTTTACAGATACATTGATTACAAAAATAACAGTTCAATTTTACAGTAATGTAGGTATTTGTGCTAAATCAACAACAAAATTTTTGACTTCATAATTGTATACGTCCAGATATTTCAAAGCCGTTTGAAAATCTCTAAAGATAAATGAATGCAAACATTAAGAGTTCCGTTAATTAAAAATATATAGGAATAAGACACGTAGCAAGAATGATATATCATAACAAATAAGTAGTTTAGCCTGATTAATCGTCTGATTAATTAAGTATGTACCGGCAAATGTAGATATTAAGATCATCTATCTTAAAAGGTGCTGGTGTGTTCAAGAAGTATTCTTCGTCGCCAGCAAGAAACGGATAATAAAGGGACACTTCAAGTTCGGCTTCATTGAGCTTGTGTGGACCTGCCCTAACCAAGGCATCTGCATCTGTCCAAAAAATGTTTGAGATAAAATATTTATCTGCCTAGAATATATACAGTCTGTCATAACTGTACTGAGCAGTATGTTATGAAATTGAAAGGAAAATATTAACTTATTTTAACTGTCACTTGGTCACTCTGTATATACCCTTGGATCGGCACAATGTCTGTTTCATAAACCTGTTCATCTTTGATACTGTAAATACTATATCTTGCTAGATGTTGAATCATCAGAAATAATTATCGCATATACATAATAAGGAAATTGTGTAAAGGGCGTACTTTAAACATCAACATTATGTTGCTATATATTTCCTTGTCACAAGACATACGCGTGTCTATATTCATTTCTCGGAGCTGCATCAGCTAAATGTAGAAGGCAAACAAGTTATTAAAATATCTATTGTCTTTCATGATTTCAAATCTCATTCAAATCTAGTGGACAGATTTGACCATTCTACAAATGTAAGAAATATGTATAAGCCGCCCGGTTTTTTTCAGCTACAGTTTTGTTGAAAAATACAATTAAGTCGGTGTAATTTAAAATCAAAATTAAAGATCTAAATGAAAATCAAATTATGATCTGTGTTCGTGTGAAAAGTATATACTATTGTTTTTATGTATGCTGTTGAACTACAAAAGAAGATTGCTTTGTTAATATGACAGGGAAATATTTAAAACACTATGACTTAAATCATAAGTATTTATAAAATAAAGACAAAGATAATATGATTTCCTTTTAAAATACATTTTCTAAATACAGAGATATGAAAAATGTACCTTCATCTTTAGTAAATGAGATTATATAATCGTTCCAGACATCTCTGTATTTGATATATTTGATATGATGAATTGATCCGTCTTTTGAGAACTGTTTTAAATAATGCTCCAATGCATTTGGTGTAGTTTCCATGGGAACGCCTTGAACACGAACTCTACATGTTCGTTCGACAGGTAATGGCATCCATTTTGTTTCGTTTGCTTTTAACTTACATTGGAACTCCGTCAAATCTGAAATGGTTAATGTTTACCACTACTAGCTACTGCACAAAAAAATCATTTTATTTTTCATTCATTTATTTATTTTTGCTATTACTTGATAGTTTATAATTATAAAGTATCTTTGTATATACCAAACAGTTTTAAAATCAACGGGTTTCAGCTTTCATTTTCTGTTGAAAAAATAATTCTGTGTAGTTTCAAACTACTAGTAAATATTTCAGTAATTTTATCCATATCAATGGTAAACCTTCTTCAAAATGGCGTCCCGAGAGCTATTTATAACGCGTAAGAAACGTTCGTTTCTAAAAATAGAATATCGGGGCTTTACAAATTTAAATATAGAGAGCGGACCGTTATACTAGAGGTGTCGTGGGGTCTTCGTTTATTGTATATGTACTTATCGTCGGAAAATTCTATTTTCCACCTTTATTCTTTTGATTTGGCATGTATATGAAACGATCTGGAAAAAAAATATTCAAGCTTTACAAAAGCTGAATGTCGCTTTAAATAATAACGTTTCAACTGCCTGGTGAAACACAGGTTGTTTACCGAACATGAAAACAAAAATTTGTAGGGGATACTTAAAGAGAAAAATACAATAAGTGACTCGCTAAGAGTAAGGATTTGTGTCGATCTAATGGAAAAAAAATAATATGAAATGACAAAATGTTTTTATTTACGTTTAAATCCGTTTTAAAAAGATGAATTTAGCATTTTTAAGTGCAGCAATACCCCCATTAGCAATAATCAAGTAAATATTTATGAAAATTAAGTGTTTTAAGAAATTTAATAAGGGTCAAATGTGCACATAAGGAGATGTATATTTACCAAAAGGACCACAAAGTATTCCTCACTATGCTTTAAACGTATCAAACCATGTGAAAAACCATGTGAAAACATCAGTAGATGTAACTCGTAATTATGCATTAGGAATATCAAATATGTTTGTCTTTAAGTAAACAAATTCGTTCTAATTTTGTCGTTGAAATAATATTAAGCTTACCTGTATTAGAATCAAAGACAAGCATTGCAATCGTAGGGTCGACACCTTTTATTACGCTCAATGGTTGTACTCCACATATTGATTTTATTTGACTCGAAACAAACTGAGTGGTGCTTTCTTCGTTTAACCCTAATAAAAGAATTTTAGTGGGATCCAAAGACGTCTGTTCATAATGTGCAATTGACACGTGTTTCTCTTTTAGAATAAAATGTTTGCCCGATCTTGCTCTCTTCAATAATTCATCTGCAGCTGTAAATATAAAAGAAATGTTTTAGCATTGCAGTATTGAAATAATCTCAGTAACTAATTGTGTACCTAGGTAAATGGTTTTCACTTAATACAAGCTCAAAAGACAATTATTTAATTAATCATTGCTTTTTCTTGTGTTTGTTATGATTTGAGCCGTGCCATGACAAAACCAACATAATGGGTTTGCGACCAGCATGGATCTAGACCAGCCTGCGCATCTGCGCTGTCTGATCAGGATCCATGCTGTTTGCTATTAGTTTCTCTACTTGTTATAGGGTTTGTAAGCGAACAGCATGGACCCTGATCAGACAGCTGGTCTGGATCCATGATGGTCGCAACATTATGTCATTTAATCCATAGCACGCTTCCATCAACTAATTCTATCTAAGCAACCAGTGTAGACAAATATCAGCCGCAACATCAGTGCCGTCTCTGTTTCTTTCGCTACTCAGTCCATACATATTTTGCAAATTTCCGTAAAATGATAAAGGGTTTTTCCAGAATCAAAGTAGAGAAGCTAATGTAAGAAATTTTCAGAGGTAAGGTTAAAATTACCTGTTGAGTTTTTAAGCGTTACGACGGCTTCTTTCAGTGTTCTATTCAAAGTGATATCTTCAAAGTCGTCACCCTTTGACAATAACTCTCTTTCAATATTAACATGGATTTCCTTGATAGATATATCATTAGGGACTTCGTCTAATATAATTTTCCTTAAACGATCTGATGCTATGTCAGGTTGTGAAGGATCAATTATATGCAGAGGCTGTAAAATACCATCTGTTGAGTCAGAAAACGTGTTTATTTTTGTAGGTCTAGGTGTTTTTGGTAATTCTGGAGGAACATCTTTTGGTGAAAGATTCATTTCTTCATAGTTTATTTCATTATAGATATGATCTTCAGGTAATGTAGGTACAGGAGGAGGACCCTCGGGTGATTTGGGCTTAATTGTGTCCGGTTGACTGTCACTTACCTCAGTGTTTATGTTGTCTGAAAAATAAGAAGATTTTACATTATACATTTTAACATGGCTCGTTATCATATCACTATATACAACGATGAAAATAAGCGGTGTTTAGCAACAAACATAATTAACGAAGTTCATGTAAATACGGCTGTTCTATTTAAACATTTTTTTCTCGGACGACATGGATAAACAAAGTAACAATAATGTAGCATTTTTATTGATATTTTCCTTTTTGCATATTTGATTTTCATATAATGCTAAGATAATCCCAAATACACTGAAGTGATAGGTTTTTAATTTTATCTTTATCAAGATAAAAGTGTATATAAGAAGTATCTTAAATGATTCGTAAGATGCGTAATAGCGTCATCATTAGTACGCAACTCATTCATAAAGGCTCGAATATGACGTCATTGTAACCTTACATAGGTAGGGGGTAATGGTTGATTTATCGAGCACCAAGAAAATGAATGTAAACTCAATACAATCAGGACAATGCGAAAGGTGTTGACAGATAACATTTGAGAGAAAAAAACAACAAAGATAACTACGATCTAATACCTTGTGCGGAAATATTTAATTCGGTAGCGGAAATAATATTATTAAATGGCGTTCGTGATAACCCCTTTTTTTACTTGTTAAAATCGATATATTATTTTTCTGAGGTGTGTTAATCGGTTACATAACACCTGTTTGTCGTTTTGACGCAACAAAATTAAACCGCTAATGCTTAATTTCCAATTTGACATCTTTTATTAAAATCAATGCATGTAAATAAAAGAATTTAGTCAATATTTTGTTTTCATATTGCTAAAACAGTTCCTTCAACCAAACATGTAGCAAATTTAATCAGCTTACCCTTTGTAGATCCATAAATGCTAATAATGCTTTCCTTTCCTTGTGCATGACTCATGTCCACATAAATATCCTCATCATCATCTTCACATCTTTGGAGTTTACCAGAATCAGATTCATTATCTGGGTCCTTTTCAATAGAAACAAGACTTTTCTCCTTTAAATCACCAGATGAAGGTTCTAACTGAAGAGTCTTATTTTCTTTAACCGCAATGTTCATGTCACAGCTTTCAGTTTTATCCGTGTATGTTCCTTCATTTGGAGTAAGCTTTGTACTTTCAAATGTTTCGAAACTTGGCTTTTTCTCTAAACTTTCCGTATCATGTTGATGAGTATTTTCACTTGGGTGATTTTCGTCAACATGTTTTTTGGAATCAATCCTGTTCTCCTTTTCATTGCATTGATCCTGATTATATTTTATTTCATTTCCATTTAGTGTTTGTTTGTCTTTATTTATGTCATCAAGATCGTCGCCTGAGCATTTTGCATTGTTTGCAGGTAAAACATGTTCAATCTCTTCTGATTTTTCTATTTTACTTTTACTTGCATTTGTTGAAACAGGTGTAACATTCGTTTCATCTTCAACGTTTTCGGGCATCTCCTCAATATTTCGCTCCATATTTATTTATTATCTGCAACAGTTCGTGAGCATAACCCAATAAATTTCTTTTTTGTTTGTGAAACTGAAGAGAAAAGGACTCAAGATATAAAAATCGCCATTTCTATTAATGTTAAAAAACAACAACACGTCAATCACGTGACCACAGTACTAATGTTTATTCATTTCAGTAACATTCAATGCAATCGGCTTTTATGCATAAAAACATCGGACTTTATTGAAAGTAGTTCTATCACGTGGTTTTAGATGTTAACAAAACAGAGGGTGTAACCTTTGATAATGTATAACGAACTTATATATTTGACATCCAAAGGAAAAATAAAATTATAATTGAAAATATATATGACAATCTTAATCAATTAAAATAAATGCACTTTAATGTAACAGATCCGGAAAAATGCCAACAGGTAGACGTTTTGTACTTTCGGTTTCTACAAAAATAATAATAAAATTGCTGTTAACCTATACTCGTATATCTATAAATTCACTAAATTAAGGTTTAAGGTGGATATATATATTGAAATAAACGTATTCAACAACTCCAAGCAAAATATTACTATTTGTAACATGTTTAGTTTCTTAGCGTAGGTAGGTTAGACCGAAACACCGTATGCGTGATGTGTAATCTTACTATTGTTTGCCAGGTTTGACGGAAAAGGCCGAGAAGATGCGATTGCCTCCATGATTAAATATAATAATGTCTCTAAGTCACAACTATAAGTCATTTAAATGCAATAATATATTTTGACATACTTTGGGATTGTAACTATATATACATTGTATAATTTTTCATTACATGTTATCATGCTCTGAAAATATTTCATAGCATTTTTTCCGTTTAATTTGTTAAAACATCATGCACACGTATAATTTAGAATATCATTTTAAGATGACTTATAGCCCCATGTGGCCGGATGTTGACTGATTTATTTTATTTTGAAAATAAAAAAAAATTGTATTTGGGAACACATGTCACTATAATGAACAATTTATCGAATTTTTGTCTATCTTCAAAAAATTAAAAGTCACGTAAGTACAACTTTCAGTTACTGAAATTCAATAATTATTATACATGTAAAACATTATACCATTTAAACGGCTTTCGGCTTTAATTTCTGTTGGTAATACAATTCTGTTTTATTAAAACTAAGTATTATATGCAATTTTAAATCGAAAACTGCATTATTACACGCCGGCGTGATATGATATACATATGGGGAAAAATTGGCCTGTGTATTTGACGTCATAAGGCCAAAACAAAAAGATCTTGAGGTTCTGGTAACATGCTGAAAAATAATAGGGTAGGTAGGTCGGAAAAACTTTTTTTAATTAGTATTTTATTAAAATTTAACTGTATGTCAGATATATACGTTATAGGACACTCTAGGTTAGGTGCGGAAATACAGGGTCGGTCAGGTAACTGGAACCATAAGATCATTTTGTTTTGGCCTAATCTCGCGTGAATTAGTCTCGCGATAATTGTCATTTATTTTTTTTTATTTTTTTAAACATGAACGAATAAAGGTATATAATGAAGTTATTAATGATTTTTTATTACAGTAATCATCGATCTTCCTTTCGCTCACACTGAAAAATACGAAAGTGACTTATAAAATTTTAGATATAGTATTTTAATTGAAATTTATAAAAATTTTAATCTTCATTTATTTGCATATTGTTTATACATTAGCTGAGACATCTATCTTCCTTTCGCTCATTGTGAACCTGACGAAAGTGACTTATTGAATATCAAATATAGCGTTTAAACAGACTTTAATATTACTATTGCAGTTTGAAGAAAGTACAGTATGAATATGTTACATTTATATATTTTGTATAAATAATAATGTGTCATAATTTCCTTACATATTTCACAAGTTGTGTATGGAATTGTATTGAGTTCCAACCAGTAGTTTTCAAGTTATGCTCTGGACAAGTAAAAAACAATGGAAACGTAACAAAGGGCAATAACTATTTAATTACTCTGGACAGAGTAAAATGTCTTGTGCACTGCACTTCCTCTTATTGTGCTGGACCATTGTATGAAGTTGTTTTGAATTCCAACCAGTAGTTTTCAAGTTATGCACCGGACAAAGAAAAGTAACAAAGGGCAATAACTCTGTAATTAGTGAAGATGGAGTTATAATTCTCATGCACTGCATTTCCTCTCAATGTGCTTGATCATTGTATGGAGTTGTATTGGATTCCAATCATTAATCTTCAAGTTATGCTCCGGACAAGGAAAATGCAACGGACCGCTAGACCGACCACCGAGTGCCTCCTATACACCCCTTCCCAAAACTTAGTTTCGTGGGTATAAATATCGACAACTTAATCATATGTCAGCGTAACGAAGTAGGTAAGGTTGTCAGTTAATCTTCTAGTTAAATATCAATGCAAGACTGTTCGGATTGTACTTTTATCGCAAAATAATTTCTGTATATAAACAAATAAATACGAATATGTAATATTTATTATTGACGCAAAGACATGTTAAGTGTTGTCATAATTTCTATAAACATCTCATTTCACATTTTTTTAATCGTAATATCTAGCAATGTTGGTACAACCTTATACTGAATACTAAACGAATGAGTTTAAACGCACGAAATACTCGTGCACTGCACAAGTTCTATGACTACTGCATACCACACAATACTAATATAAATATTATTACCGGTATATTTAACTTTTTAGATATTATGCATCTTTCGTAAAATTGAAAAAAAGGGAAACAAAATAAAAAAGAAAGAAAAACAACTTGTGAGGCTCGAACTCGTGAAGAAATTTAGTAGCATATGACTTTACAAATTTTGTCATCAAGACATTTAAAGTTCTTTTTCTATCTAGTACTATATTCGCTTCTAAAACCCCGATACTAATTCAGACAAAGAGTGTTTACTTTTGCGTTTGTTTGTTTGATTTTACGCCTTTTCCCAACAGTATTTCAGTTATATCATGCATATAGGCTGGTAGTTTCCTAAACATCGTTCCTACTTTTGCGTACACAGCAAATGCAACGTAACTCTCACATTATCATAGCGGCACTGTATTGTTTGATTTTATTAACCTGTCAATTGCATACTGATTACACGGTCAATGCATACAATATATTTATCTTCGACAAATGATCGGTAAAGTTCGTGAGATGTACTCAGTAACATTTGATTAAATTTAATTTGTTTCTATGAAATAGCTATACTGACCGTTATAGCGCAATAAGACAAACTACAGGTTTATAACTTCAAAATGTCCCACCTCTTGTAAGATCTAGACCGCTTTTGTCTATGTTTTTTTTTCTTATTTATATTTTCCACAGTTTTGAAGGTATGATTGATTTTTTTAAGTTGTTCTTTTTTATGTTTTGCATCTATTTTGGCAGACAATACGTTTTTTAAATAGCATGGTTTAAAAATCAAAATTAAAATTAATAAAGCTCATTTCAATGCACAAAACAAACAAATATGTGTTTCTAAGTTGTTCCATATCCGTTTAGACTATTTTGCAAGCCCTATTCATTAAAGCAACCTTCAAAAATAAAGAAAGAATTTGTCTAAAAACAATTGCAAAAGTATGGATCGAACCATAAACCTCTAATATATGAGTTAATCACTCAACCGACAGTGCTATTGCTGATATAACCAGAACATAAACATTCAGATAGTGTGACTCTTCAAAATATTAGTCATAAACATGTACTCCAAATTAATTCTCGTAATCTATACGGACAGACCCGAAGTGGTATCGGATATTAAGATGAGTGCTATATTATGTATTCATAAATGACAGGTCAATAAAATCAGACTATAATTCTGTGTCAAGTGAAACATAACAACCGCTAGGTCGTGATAAATGCAAATTATCTTTTATGCATATTAAATAACTGTAAACAAATATATTGATGTTTTAGACCCGTTTTGTGTGGTAGAGTAGCTTACAAGGAAGAATAACTTTCAGTCACATAAATACAATCATAACTTTCTGTCATTGAAATGCAATATAAACTTTCAGTCACGCAAATACAATATTAAGTATAAAAACTAACATATAAGTTATGGTGGCTGATTTGTGCCATTCGTGTTTTCACCACGCGACCCTGCCTAGGGAAAAGTCGAGAATTAACAAGTTAAAATGGCGGGGGCGTGGAGCAAAAACATGCTTATAAGTGAGAGCGCGTTTTATTTATTAAACTTCACCGCGGGGGGGGGGGGGGCGGAGCGAGAGCAGGGAGCGGATCGAGATTTAAGGAATTAAATAAAACTTCCCGCCGCGCCCCGCCGCTTTATTTCTTATATCTCGCTCCGGGCCCCCGCGGGGCGAAATTTTATTTATTCAACTTGTTAATTTTCGACTTTTCGCTTGGCGGGGTCGCGGGGCGAAAACACGAACGGCACAAATCAGCTATCATAATAAGTGTTTTTACGAAGTATTTCCAGCTTTCCTTTGGGAGAAAACATCAGGTTTTCTTCCGTGCATTATTTCTGCCACGTGCCTGCTAGGCACCTGAGTAGAACCGACGACGTCCTGTAAGTTAGCAGATTAGCTTCCTCACATGAAAGAATCCAAAGACCCTAGCAGTATTCGGACAACGGTGAAAGGCAAATGGTTTGATGTAGGACGGCTATGTATAGCAAAACCATACTTTTCTGCATAAAGATAAGTTTGTTCTAATACAATCTGATCGAAGTTCAAATCTGCTTATTTCTTTCATGTGGATCTAATAACGACCGTATATGTTTCGCCTTCTTCATAAGTAAGACTTCCCCCAAGAACGCTATTTTAGCCATGCAATCAAACCGGTTTTTAAAAGATAGGCATTTGAAGAAGTATCTAAATACCGTTATCCGTGGAAGTAAAACAAATTGTTGATTTTTGTTAGAAAAAAAGTTTAAAGTAATTTTCAATAAATTAACTTGAACAATTTTAATGGGATCAGTTTACCTGTCGGCTATAGACCTTTTTACGACGCGGTCCGTTGCTATGAAAAATTGACCGGAAGTAGTATTTTCTCGC